CCAGTTCTGATCTTGATCCAAATTGGTTGGCAACACAATTTTTAAATCTCCTCCTCTACAATTCAACAGTTTTTATAATTTAAGGAAACAATAGAGAGGGTAGCTGTTGAGACAGTGTCTCTCTATGTAGCCCTGTCTGTCCTGGAATTCTCTATGTAGACCAGACTGGTCTTGAACTCACACAGATCCATCTGCTTCTGTCTCTGCTGGGATTAAAGGTGTGCACCACTATGCCTGGCTTAAAGATGCTTTTTTTTTTTTTTTTTAATTTTGAGATCACAAAAAGTTTAATGATGATCACTGTTTGCGTCACCCTCTAAACAACTAAGCCAACCAGAAAGCTAGGACAATAATTTAAGAGCTGTCTAAGCCGGGCGGTGGTGGTGCACGCCTTTAATCCCAGCACTCGGGAGGCAGAGCCAGGCGGATCTCTGTGAGTTCGAGGCCAGCCTGGTCTACAGAGCTGTCTAGAATAGTTTGTTCAATGGCCAGCAAAGAAATTATTTTCCTTTCATTATTTAATACCATGATAAATTACAATCACACCTTACTTTACACAGGAAGGTGTTTTTTATTATTATTATAGTTTAACAAAGTAAAGGTGACATTTATCTGGTCCTAAAATATTTGCTGATTTCCTTTTAAGTACGTGGGCCGCCAAACCTGAGACTATTTTTTAAAGGCTTACCTTCAATTAGCCTCTCTTGCCACTAGGTGGTGAACCTAGCCTCTAAATCTAGCTGATCAAGAGTAATGTTTATAAGCAAGGTTTCGTCTTAATCTGTTGAAATATTATATTCCAGCTTCAAAAGTGAATTAAGGACAATTTTCTTTCCCTGACAGTTATTAAATATGAACACAATAAGCCTTTTTCCAATGCCGACTCTAACTCTCCTTTGTTGTGGGAATTTAGCAGAGTCATGGTATGGGCTAGATATTAGAATCAACAACTTTTTTAGAAGTACTTTGACCTTGAAGAACCCTTGTGGAAAACAGTGACTGTTTTCTGTCATCTGTAGAACTGTTTTGCTCAAGGGGCTTTGCAACCATCCCATGGCTTTGGTCACAAGATGCCTCAGGCACACCTGAGGCTCTTGTATTATTGTGTATTGCACACGATCCATAATAAAGGACTAAAGTCATGGAGGCATGTGATGCTCTTCTTCAGTAAGACATGCAAATTAAGATTAGGGACCTTGGAATGAGGAAATACTTTGTATAACAATCAATAAATACGCCTTTGTATAGCTCAGTCCCTCAGAAGGGGTTAGACCTTCCTGCTGCCACATAGGCCTTAAAAATTCATCTTGGGTGTGCCTTCTTTCAACTGACCCACTCTGCGTCATGCACATCAACACTCCTTGTAGGAACTTGGAAGGAAAGGAGAGGTTTTTTAGCACCAGTTAATAACAAAGTTCCCATCATTTCTAGCTCAGTGTTTTACATTCTTCCTGCTAGGATCCAGGAAGTAGGTTCCTGGCAGCCCGAGGTTTCCATGGAGCCTTACCTGGCCTCATTTCATCAGGAAAGGGCAGTTAATTTGTTGGCAGATTCCATAGGTGTCATGACAGCTCTGGATATTCAGACCTGTTGTCCTTTCCAGAGTGAGAGAGCTGACCAGACACAATGCCCCTCCTTCCATTGCGCTTGCTGTGAGCTAGACACAGCATGGACCATGTTTAGGAAATCCCTAGATGCCATAAAATTATACTGCTACATACTCATTTGCACCTCCATTTAACGGTTGCATTATAAGCAAGCATATCATCTTCCTTTTAAGCTAAAGCTCCCCATATTTAAGTTTAATCTGAGGAATATTACAGGGAAGAAAGTTTCCTTTGTATTTGTGTGGTTGATATATTGTGTACCCCAATAAACTTATCTGGGGGTCAGAGAACAGAACATAGTACACGCCTTTAATCTTAGCATTCAGGAGGCAGAGATTTGTCTGGATCTCCATTAGTTCAAAGCACTGGAACCAGCCAGGCATGGTGACACATGGAAGTGATGGCAGGAAGCATAAAGATATATATAAGGCGTGAGGACCAGGAACTAGAGGCTTGTTAAGCTTTTAGGCTGTTAGCAGCAGTACAGCTGAGATTCTTTCGGATCAGGACTCAGAGGCTTTCAGTCTGAGGAAACAAGATCAGCTGAGGGATTGGCGAAGTGAGGTTGGATGTGGCCTGTTCCGTTTCTCTGATCTTTCAGTGTTCACCCCAAAACCTGGCTCCGGGTTTGTTTTTATTAATAAGACCTTTTAGAAATTCATGCTAGCTACATATTTGCTTGAAAAACCTAAAATGAAACACTTCCCATGAACTCAGGAAGCTACACCAAGGGGGTCTCTAAATTTTAGTGCTGTCCTACTTCACTAATAATGATATACATGAATGAAATAAGCCTGTTGTTTTCTACCACATTAGATAAACTATAAACAAATTGCTAAGAAATACTGAGAAATAAGCAGAGGTTGAAGATGTGGCTCAGCTGGTAGAGGACTTGGATAGTATGCACAAAGGCCTGGGTTCTTTCTCAGCATTACATAAATTAGGGGTTGTGACCCAACACCCATAAGTATAGCACATTGGGGTAGAGGCAAGAGGATCAGGAGATGTTGGGATGTATCCTTGGCTGCATAACCAACTAGAAGACAGCCAGGGCTACACTGTCTCCAAAACATAATAAAACAAACAAAAAATCCTTAGCTTTGCCGGGCGGTGGTAGTGCATGCCTTTAATCCCAGCACTCGGGAGGCAGAAGCAGGCAGATCTCTGTGAGTTCGAGGCCAACCTGGTCTCCAAAGCGAGTTCCAGGAAAGGCGCAAAGCTACACAGAAAAACCCTATCTCGAAAAACCAAAAACCAAAAACAAAAAAAAAAAAAAAAAATTCTTAGCTTTAACAATGAATGAGCTGGGCTTAGTGCCACATTTTTAATCCCACACTCTGGACGTAGAGTCAAGTGGATCTCTCCGTGAGTTCAAGGCCAGCTTGGTCTGTATAGTGAGTTCCAGGACACACAGAGCTACACAGAAACTGTGGGGAGAAAAGGGTGAGAAATGGGAGGGAAGGGTGGGGGAGAAAGAGAAATAGGCAGCCTTAAGATTTAATCATTGATCACTGGTGATGAGAATTAAAATGTTCACCTCACTAGCAAAAGAAACTCAAATTTAATTTTATTTTATATCTATTTATTAGTAAGGAGGGGGTGGCTGTGTACTGCATGTGCAGGTCAGAGAGCAACTTGACCTCCCTCTCCTTCCAGCAGTGGGTTCTGTAGATCCACCTCAGGTGGTCAGGCTTGGCAGCAAGTGTCTTTACAGCTGAGCCATCTCACAGGCCTCTCAAAGGTTTCCTTTTTGGTTGGTTTGGTTGTTGTTGTTGTTTCCTGAGACAGGGTTTCTCTGTGTAGCCCTAGCTGTCCTGGAACTCACTCTGTAGATCAGGCTGGCCTGGAAATCACAGAGATCCATCTGCCTCTGTCTCCCGAGTGCTGGGACTAAATTCGTGCACCGCCACCACCTGGCTTCACGTGTTTTAAGGATGCAATTCTCTCTTCTGAAAATCCTAACAACTGTGGTAATCACGACTGACAGTATGGAAAAGGGGTGGATGGATGGAGAATAAACTTAAAGGTGTTTTCAAGAAGACAATCTTGCAATTGTTATAAAAAAAATAGCTTGAAATGTTTCACTCAACAATCTATTGTATTATGACAGAAAAATGTATAAAATCCTGAAACTCCAGAATTCAAATAATGGCTAAATAACACAATATGTTACTCTGTTTTTCAATACAATCCACTTAAAAAAAATCAGTATTTAAGAATGACTGATTGATCTGAGACAGATTCTGATTTTGTAAACCAAGCCGGCCTTGAATTGCCAATAATTCTGCAGGACGGGTCTCCTCAGAGCTGGAATTATAGGAAGGAGCCACCACATCAGGTTTACAACCCACTCTGTTTTCCTGGCTTTGGAGGGGGTAAAGTTAAAAATTACATTTCCCAGATGTGCTCGAGGTTAGGGTTGCCCTCACCAGTCAGAAGCCGGAGGTAGTGCTGTTTGATGCTGTGAAGCAAGCTTCTGATTGCTTTTTTTATGTACATTAATGTACATTAGCCTTTAGTTTGGTGGTTTGCCTGGCAATTTGGACTCTGATTCTTGGACTGCCTGTTAGAATTTCTAGCCATTCCCCCATGACTGCGCATGTGCTGGCAAGACGCTTAGTCATCCCAGGGCCTTATGTGCACTGAGAGATCATGTATTCTATGTACATGCGTGCCGTAGCTACATAGCCCATATGTGCGTGTGCAGGGGAATCTATAAAAGTGAGTCCCACATACCCCTCCCCCCCTCTTCCTGTATGATCATTCCCATAGGCTTAAGAGGGCAAGCTATAAAAGTGAGTCCCACATACACCTAACCCCTTCCTCTATAATTATTCCCATAGGCCTAAGCATATCCCTCTGTTCCCCTTCCCCTGATAAACTCTTATAGTGAATTTTCTTGTACCTCCTGGCTTTTCTCCCATGGTAAACAGCACTGCTTAATAAATAACACTGCCTACGGTGATTCTGGGAAGCAGAGGTTCTTTCTAGATTACACAGCAACTGGGACAATTCCAAATAATCTGTCAGGCAGCCAACAACCCACTAATATATCTCTATTTCTGTTCAAAGAACGGCCTGCCACTGTACCATACCCAGTAGACTACCTACACAATACACTACAGCATATCGGTTCAAAAGTCACACTATAGAATGATTAGTGATACAGAGTACACGCCCAAGTTTGTTTGGAGACAGGGTTTCTCTGTTTGACCCTGGTTGTCCTGGAACTCACTGTAGACCAGGCTAGTCTTGAACTCAGAGACCTGTCTGCCTCTGCCTCCCCAAGTGCTAGAATTGAAGGCATGCACCACTACCACCCGGGTAATACTCCAAGTTTTAATTGATTCAATTTTTAATTTAATAATTTCTAACTTATCAAGTGCTATTTATACTGTAGCTGCTCTCTTCTCAAAGAGCATGTATCTTCTGGTGCAAAAACAGTAGCTCAGAGTCTTAAAAATAATGTCTACAATGGCTTAACTATGATTCTCTGTTGATATTGTCCAATTTTCCTTAAAAGGAATTGTTTCTGTGTGCTTTCAAAGGCAACCAAGAATGGTTCAAATCTTTCACATAAATATTAAGTACTATATTCTTCATGGTTTCAATTGTTCCACCTATTTTGGGGGTGGGGATGAGAGGGTAGCTTGGATTTTTTTTTCCTCTGGGAACAATTAATTGACTGACTTCCTCGAACTCAGAATTGACCGCAAAAGAAACAGTCTTGTGCCACTCAGTAGGTAGAAGCTGTTTTTCCTTTTTGTCCTGGTTTCTTCCTCTTCCTCCTCCTCCTTCCTTCGTCTTCTTCCTCCTCCTATTACACAAGACTAAAGAATTAATCACAGCTATTTGTGGATACCTTTGTGAAAAAGAACATACATGAATATCGAAGAAAGGTAAAGTCAAATATCAAAGAGGAGGCCTCAGGCAGAAGAGGCTTGGGCCCCAGGGGAAGCAATAGCAGAGAGGACCTAAATCTGCCCAAGCCCAAATATTATCTAGGCGGTGCTTCTGGATGGTGTCAACATCTCCAAGGAGGCCCCTGAGCACCATTTCCAAAGTCTCCCTTCTGTATGAAGGGGAAGAGCAAGACTCTCAATACCAGGGATGTGCTGTTGGCCAGAGAAGTGAGTTCCAGCAGTTCGTTACACCACTAAAGCTCCGGAAGCATATATAAGCAAAAACAAAAAAAAAACAAACAAACAAACAAACAAAAAAAAAAAAAAACAAAATGCAAGACAGCTCTGGAACAAAAGAAGGACAGAGACAGGAGAACAGATTCAGAAGAGCAGGACAAGAACAGGGGGAAGACACTGAGGATGAAGAAAGACTGGTGTGCTGGGTGGTGGTGGCGCGCACCTTTAATCCCAGCACTCAATCCCAGAACTGACCACCCTGAGACATGTTTATGTGAAGCTCTTCCCTGCAAGGCTTAAGCTTGGATGTCTGAGATCAAAATAAAAACAGACCAGAATGATCAAAACCAGCCCTTCTCAGACTCAGAGCATCTGAGGGACAGAATTCTATTTTGCTGAATCAGTCTGGAGGTTATGACTTTTTAGTATGAGAGATATTGAATGGCTAATTAGTTTGCTATCAGTAGTTTAAGTATATGGCTAGCTAGCTTTTGATCCCATTTCTGAACTGCCCCCTAAAAAGCAATAACTTCCATGGTGCTGCTGTGCTCCAGGTCACAGAGGCAGTAAAAGCTGGGGTGGAGGGGGGCAGGTGTTGATCACTGTCACACTGATTGCAATGGGTATTAATGGTCAGAATGGCTGTGCTTTAGGAAATGACTAACAGCCATGAAAGAATAAAGCAATCTCTTCACTGGATGGTAACATTACTTGTCTATTTTTGTTTTTGTTGTTGTTTTGTTTTCTAGACTTAATTAGCTTGTAGCCTTTCTTTATTGTCTGTAGATGTTCAGTCTGCTGGGATGGCTGAACTCCTGTGACTTACACTCTAAAATTCTCAGTGTTGACTGGAATCTGTCAAATAAGAGTGCCAGTATCTTAAAAAGAGGTGGCTTTAATCTTCAAGATAACTGCCACTGTAGGCTTTAGTTCCTGGAGGTATAAAATCCCAGCCTTCCTTTTCTTGTAGTCCATCTACAAGATTTATGACTGGTGTTTTTCATTCCCTGAACTCACGACAAGTTCCACACTTGTTCCCCTAGGCACAGTCTTTCCCTTCCCATCTCTCTCCTGCTCTCCTGCCTCTGCTTCCCATCCACACTTCCTCCTCCTTGTATTTATTTTGTCTTCCAGTCTAGGAACTTTGATTATCTATGTAATATCCCAGAATACAAATTCCTCCAATTCCTTAGTCCTAATCTCTTTATTATTACTAAGAAATTTTCTATTCGTTTTACATACCAACCACAGATTCCCCCCCTCTTCCCACCCTCCAGCCTTCACCCACCCCACCCCATATTCCCACCTCCCCTAATCGCTTTTAAAAAGGAACTGAAACACCTACCCCTAAACATTAAGGTGAATGTAATGGTGCTCAGGAATCTAGCAACACAGCCGCCACTGCTGTAGCTCCAAAAGTATCTGTTGGTCTTTCCTTTCTCCCCAGTTAGTGCTCGAAGCACTTTGCTTTGTCTTAGTTGAGCACTTGAGGTTGACAGGTAATGTAACAATAGTTGGACACGGTTAACTAGTCAAGTGAATACAGTGAAGAGTTTGTTGAAAGTGACTGGAGACTGTTGAGAAGATTTGAATGCTTTATATAAGTAAAGAACATTTTTTAAAAAGGTAAGGTCAGTTATTCTGAGAAAATATGGGGAGTCACACTTGGGGGGCCCCCATATTACAAGTGAAATTGGAGTCCCCTCTTGAGGTTCTTGGTCTCATTAATAAAAGAATTTAAGAACCAATTCAGAAAGAAAGTTAAAGGATACTTTAATAAAGTTTAAAAGTAGCCCAGGGTAGGTAAACTTAGGCTTATTCCCAACAAGCTCTTACAACTTAAATTAACTGATTTATAATAATCTGTGTTCTGCCATGGGCTTGTTACTGCTCTCTATACTATTTGTCTCACTGGTGAGTCTCTCATGCCAGATTCTTTTCCAGAGCTACCATTTCTGCCCAGAAGTCCCACCTATCCTCTCTTGCCTAGCTCTTGGCCTTTCAGCTCTTTGTGGTGGTATTGTGTTCCCCCCAAATATTGTGCACCCTAATAAACTTATCTGGGGTGAGAGACAGAACAGCCACTAGATACAAAGGCTAGAAAATGGTGGCACTCAAACCTTTAATCCTAGCATTCCAAAGGTAGAAATTCCTCTGGATCTCTGTGAGTTCAAAGCCACACTGGAAACAGCCAGGCATGGTGACACACACCTTTAATCCCAAGAAGTGAGCCTTTAATCCCAGGGAGTGATGGCAGAAAGGAAAGATATATAAGGCGTGAAGACCAGGAACAAGAAGCACTTGGCTGGTTAAGCTTTCAGGCTTTCGAGCAGCAGTTCAGCTGAGACCCATTCTGGATGAGGACTCAGAGGCCTCCAGTCTGAGGAAACAGGATCAGCTGGGGATCCAGCGAGGTGAAGTGCCTGTGGCTTGTTCTGTTTCTCTGATCTCCCAGCGTTCACCCCAATACCTGGCTTGATTTTATTAAGAAGACCTTTTAAGATTCATGCTACAGCTCTTTACTAAACCAATCAGAAGGTGCCTCAGGCAGGCAAGGAAAGACAGAGTCACATCTTTCACACAGTGTGATCAAATGTCCCACAACACAGGTGGCAGACAGAGACAGACACACTGAGAATGACATAAGCCTTTTAAAACTTCAAAGTCCACTTGCAGTGACATACTTCCTCTAACTAGGCCATGTCTCCTAATCCTTCCCAAACAGTTCCACCAATACCTAGGGGCCAAGTATTCAAACCTATGAGCTTATGGGAACCATTCTCATTCAAACCACCATACTTACCCTCTTGTGTCTAAACATTGGGAGAATATTAAGAACATAAGTGTAGTTACTATTGTCACAGCCACCATTTTTTGATTGTTTACTACTATTCCTTGCCAGATGACATATATAGTAGCTAAATTTGCACAATGACTCTACACAGTAGATAATCTGATTCCCAGGTTCCCTTGTTTATAACAGGGGCAGGTAAATCCACAACTACATCACAATAGGATGCAAGGAAAACAGTAGCTCTATTTACTTTGGGGTTTTGTCAGAAAAGTGTCCAAATATTTATTCTAATCATTATCTCCCAACAGTGCAGAATTCTTTATCAGCATTGTAACTGAAGATCAACTGAACATTTCTCAGTTTGTATTATACTACTATTATACTAGTTTTTGTACTTCAGCTTTTGCTTCATGGTTCTCTTTTGGTTTATAAAGAAAAAAACATGTTGTTTGTAACATAAGGGGAAATATTTATGACAAGGTGAGGTTGTCTCCCTAATTCTAAGAGATATAGAATGTAGTCGGGCCCCAGGAAAATTTGAATGCTTTAAGCAAGACAACTAGGATATGTTATTTCCTTGTATCTATTTTCCCATTATATGTCTGCATTTTTTCATCTTTCAAAGATCAATCCTATCTGCTCTTCACTTTATGTTTATGGCCAAAGGGTAAACAGTTGCAGTTTCAAATGTTCATGAATTATAAATCGGGCCAGTCATCCCCCACCCCATTCCCGGATAGGGTATCACTATGTAGCCCTGGCTATCCTGGAACTCACTATGTAGACCAGAGTGGCTTCGAACTCACAGAGATACACCTGCTTTTGACTCCCAAGTGCTGGGATTAAAAGGCAGGTGCCACTACACCCAGCATATTGTTGTTTCTGCCCAATCTCAAGCTGGGAACCTTTCCAGTGTGAGGATAATATGATAACCCCAACACTATAGAACCTGCCTCTAAACTCATCCAGTCATAATAATAGCCTTTTCATTTTCCTATTTAGTCTATCCAGGCCCCTAGCCTATAAGGTGGTATCGCCCACATTCATGGTATGCCTTCCCACCTAAGTTAATCCTTTCTAGAAATAACTTCACAAATGCACCCAGAGATATACTTTAGTAACTTGGGCTTTTCTCAATCCAATTAATTTGACAATAGAGACTGGCCATTATAATTGTTGCTCACCAGAGATGATGGTAAATTTGGAAAGACGGCATCAGTCTAGAGAGCCATATATATAAGTAGCTACAGAAGACAGTGTCTGAGAGAAAAAGAGAGCAGGAGACTACAGAATAGGCATTGGTTTCTGGCAGCATACTAAGTGTGTGTGTGTGTGTGTGTGTGTGTGTGTGTGTGTGTGTGTGTGTAATTTTAATGCAAATAACATAGTTATAACATTGAATTGTTAAAATTAAAATCAATTAACTAAAAGATAATATCATAGTCAGGAAGTATGTTCAGCTCTTTTATTAGCAATGGTGAGCAAGCTTGCTATCCACCTCATAGCCTTCAGCTAAGCACCACAAATGTTTTGTTGACTGAGTAGAAATCCCAGAAATCATGTCTTGGAAGTGGGTCTCTCCTCTCACCTCTACCAGTCCCAGTGGATACAGCTAGAGAACAGTCCCAAGGGTAAGACTCTGCAGGGAACATTGGGGGAAGTAGAGGGGGTGGGAAGATTTTAAGAGCCAGAGGAGCAGGGAGTTCGTTGTAAGATTGTATCTCCTGGTGATATCAGAAGCTACACCCAGAAACTCTCACCAACACCACTGCCTAAACATGTACTGAACAGGGACAACACTAATAGACATGCCGAAGTGAACAGGGAAAGTCCATGAGGTCTCAAGAGAGCACAGAGCACAGAGAACTATAGACAACTGAGGACTACTGAGAGCAGGAGAAATAGTCTTCTCCAGGGAAGAGCACTCCACCTGTTTGTCCAATACTAACTAGTTAGCTCTGAAAATGTGTAAGTATCATTACACATATGGCAAAGGTTATATTTAGAAAAAAAATGTGTGTGTGTGTGTGTGTGTGTGTGTGTGTGTGTGTGTGCATAGATAGATAGATGCATGTAACAACTATTATTGAAAAAAGACATGAATTTGAAAGAATGAGGAGAGGTGTGGAGAGAGGAAACAGAAGGGAGAAATAACGTAATTACAATCTCAAAAATGAAGGAAAAATGGAAAAATTAACCTATCATTGCAACAATTTCTTTTTGAGACTATGGTCTCTCTATGTCGTGCTGACTAGGCTGGAATTCACTATGTGTACCAGGCTGGTTTTGAATTCACAGAGATGGTCCTATCTGCCTTTTGAGTACTAGGGTCAAAGGTGTGTGCCACTCTGCCTTGTATTAGCTTTTATTTACTTCTGCCATGCCTTTTGTTAGTAACAGCGCTTTACTTCTGTTAACTGCATTCTTTCCTTTTTTGGTTCTTTGTTGTTGTTGCTGCTGTTGTTTTGAGATAGGGCTTCTCTGTGTAACAGTCCTGGAACTCATTTTGTAGATCAGATTGGCCCTGAACTCACAGAGATCTGCCTGCCTCTGCCTCCTGAGTGCTGGGACCAAAGGTGTTGCCACCATGCCTGGGCTGCATTTCTTTTTTTTTTATTCATGGCTTCCCATGCTGCTGGAAGGACCAGTCTGTAACAGCTCACAAGCTGAAGGGGAGTCACGGAGTCAGCAGACTAATCACTCAATTGACTTTTCTATCTGAGGGAGTAAAACTTAGTTCTCTGGGGCCAATGAGCAGGACAAAACTTAACTCTCTGGGGCCAGCGAAAAAGGAAAATACACATGTGCGCGTGCGTGTACACACACTCACCTCCAACATGTCAGGATCTCACCTAGGGTACTGATGAATGGCAAGCCTTCAGCAGGTCAGAGAAACTGAAGAGGATTCAGAGTAGGTGAACTACTGGACAGACAAACAGACACATGAGGACTTTTCTGAGAGCCAAAGCTTAGTTCTTCATTTTATTATTCTTTGTGTTGTTTGTTCTTCTCTTTCTGTTCTATTCTTCTATGTGATGTTTCCTTTCTTCTGTGTCTCTTTGTTTTTCCCTTGCAGCTTACAAATCCTAGCAAAATCTTTCAAGCAATATAAAAATTACAATATGGTTACATTCTATTTTTAAGTAAAGACTACAATAAATACATGCAAAAGACAACATGTTTCCCATTTTCCTTACACGATTAAGCATTTTACATATCACAGGTAAAAAACAAATCATCCCCAAGAACCCACACTCAGTTAAACATTCATCTTTTAGACTTCTCACAGATCAGGAGCCTTTCAGCCATAACAGTTTAATAGGCAATAGTTTTTATAATTGCCAGAAAAAACAGGTTACTAGTTTCACTTTTCATATTTCAGAGTCCAGTCCAATTACCTTAACTAACCATCCAATTCGTTGTTTCCTAGTTACATGAAGTCATTACTTAAAGCTTTGTTTTAGCTATGATGTACACCAAAACCCACGAACACATTTCCCCTTATCAAAAAGAACTTGAGCTAACTCCTGGGACTCGACTGTTTTCCTTAATTATTAACCTAAACCATAGTCTATATGGCTCCTCAAATAAAACTTGTAAGTCTTGTCTGCATGACACTTCCTTGTTCTTATTTTCTATCCTCTGCAGTCCCTGCTTTATCAGTGGCAGGGGGCAACACTATAATCTAACCTTTACCTATACTAATTTTCCCACTAAACTAACATCTATCATAATTCCTTACTATATTTGTTAGAAACCCTTAATCATCAAAATTCTATTTAAACTAACACTGTTTGCTGATGTCTTTCTGTAGGCTGTGAATGTGTGTTGCTCTGACTTGGTTGATAAATAAAATGCTGATTGGCCAGTAGCCAGGCAGTAAGTATAGTATAGGAGGGATAAGCAGAGAGAAGGATTCTGGGAACAGGAAGGCTGAATTAGGAGTCACCAGCCAGACATACTGGTAAACCATGAGCCATGTGGCAAGATATAGATTTATAGAAATGGGTTAATTTAAGATGTAAGATCTAGCCGGGTGGTGGTGGCGCATGCCTTTAATCCCAGCACTAGGGAGGCAGAGGCAGGCGGATCTCTGTGAGTTCGAAGCCAGCCTGGTCTCCAAAGCTAGTTCCAGGAAAGGCGCAAAGCTACACAGAGAAACCCTGTCTCGAAAAACAAAACAAAACAAAAAAAGATGTAAGATCTAGCTAGCAAGAAGCCTGAGCCATTAGGCCATCCAGTTCATAAATAATATAAGCCTCTGTGTGTTTACTTGGGTCCGAGCAGCTGCGGGACTGGCAGGTGAGAGAGATTTGTCCTGACCACCAGCAGGATGGGACACAAGAAATCTTCTAGCTACAACTGTTATTGTATAAAATCACTGCTTCAGTTAAACAGCACAGCTTAAGAGGAGATTATCTTCATAATAATCCACAGGTAAAAATGCCCAGTAGAATGGGATATTTCCAAGAGATGATCACACTACATTAAGGGCAGTGGGGATCTCCCCACACCATTCACACCATGCCAGATACCAGAGAAAGATGGCAGCAGCAAACCTGCAAAGACACAGCAGTAGCAAGAGACATCCTGGAGCTGAAGCCCTCAGGGCCTTGCCTATCCAAGATTCACCTATCAGTGCCTTGCCTCCTGGTGGGCCAACTCCTGAAGCTCAATTGCCACCAAGTGTTCCTCTGTCATGGCTACTGGCATTTCTGCTTTACCATTTTTCTCATATCTGCTTACTGTATTTTTTTTTTAAGATTTATTTATTTATAATGTATACAGCATGTATGACTGCAGGCCAGAAGGGGGCACCAGATCTCACAGATAGTTGTGAGCCACCATGTGGTTGCTGGGAATTGAACTCAGGACCTCTGGAAAGGCAGTCAATGCTCTTAACCTCTGAGCCATCTCTCCAATCCTGCTTATCATACTGTTAATGAAACACACCTTACAAGAAGAGCATACAACACTAGGTGTTCCTGCTAATAGTGTGTGTATATCATGTAATAGAAACCAAGAAACCTACACACACACACATATACACAGAGGGAGGGAGGGAGGGAGGAAGAGAGAGGGAGAGAGAGAGAGGGAGAGAGGGGAGAGGAAGACACAGACACACATAATATTTTTTGAGAGGGTGTTGAGACAGGGTTTCTCTGTGTAGTCCTGGCTGTTCTGTTACTCACTCTGTAGACCAGGCTGGCCTTGAACTTATAGAGATCCACCTGCCTCTGCCTTCCAAGTACTAGTATTAAAGACACATGCCACCATTCCTGGCTTAATGTACATAATCTTAAAGAAACCTGTGAGGACACAGGAAAAGACTAGCTAGTGGAATGACAATAACAACAGGAAAATAGGATTCTAGGAAGAAATCTGTAGCAAATTTATAAATATAGAAAACAATAAGGTGTGTTGAACAGAGAACAACGGGGAGAGAAATTTAATTCACCTAGATCACTTCAGTAGGAGATAAGAGTAAAGAGTTTGCTATCAACATGTGCAAAGTCTGTTTAAGGTTTAATTATTTCTTGAAAACTAAGGAGCTACTTGTATATCAGAGAGAAAAGTAAGTGATGACATCATTTTTCTGCTGTGATCACAGACTTTTCTGCTGGTTTTGGGCATGACAATATGGGTCCAGCAGAAAGGAGCCAGCTGGGAGGCTACCAACGTGAATGGTAAAAATGGAAAGGGCAGCAAAAAACGGCCTAAGAAGGACTAGCTTGGACGTTACTTTTGGATTGTTGTGAACAGAATCTCTCCAATAGTAGAAGGAAAGAACGCTTTATTCGGCTCACGTTTCGGCCAGATTTCAGCCCATCACGATGCAGAAGGAATGCGACAGGAGCAGCTCCCTGGAAGCGGGAATGTGTGCTGGCAGCTTTTCACATTTTGGCAGACCAAGAAACAGAAAGTTAGACTGGAAGTAGAGACTTGCTCTTAGTAACCAATTTCCATCAGAGAGGCACCATGTTTTCAAGCCTCCATGGCCTTGCCAAGGCCACAGGCTGGGAAATCAAATGTTCAAAGAGGAGCCAATAGAAGACATTTCACACCCAAATAAATCACAGCCTTTCATCTCGGGTCCACGAAAGCTCATTTATCTGTATGATTATGTACGTAGTACATATGTCTGAGAGGGATTCTCAGTTTTTATTGCTTACTCTGGCAAGGAGGGGGCCGAGTGAATCTGGTCAGTTTCAGGGACTTCATGAAGCTATTTTGAGTTGTTTACTTTCCTGCTTAAGGAGTGTCCCTGCAGGATGGAAACTGTTATACAATACCTCAAAGACACACCAAAGTGTGCCTCACCAATCTTCTTGATAATTCTGAGTCTAGTCAAATTGACAATACAGTCACCATAGATTGATGTAGTTGTACCAGGAAGCACCTGACACTTGAATGTCTTTCTACTGTGGTTGTTATTACTACTGTTGTTGTTATTACTACTATTTGCTGTGGGATGGTCTGTATGTCAAATTACTCTGATTGGTCAATAAATAAAACACTGATTGGCCAGTGGCTAGGCAGGAAGTATAAACGGGACTAACAGAGAGGAGAAAAGAAAGAACAGGAAGGTGGAAGGAGTCACTGCCAGCTGCTGCCATGACAAGCAGCATGTGAAGACACCGGTAAGCCACAAGCCACGTGGCAAGGTATAGATTTATGGAAATGGATTAATTAAAGCTATAAGAACAGTTAGCAAGAAGCCTGCCTCGGCCATACAGTTTGTAAGCAATATAAGTCTCTGTGTTTACTTGGTTGGGTCTGAGCGGCTGTGGGACTGGCAGGTGACAAAGATTTGTCC